CTTTTACAGAAAGCAGTGGCTCAGGCAGCTCAGAGAGGCCAAGCGATTGTCCAGAGTCACACAGTGTCAGAGTCAGGACCCTGCTTAAGGGTGTGATGGGAAAAAGTAAAGGTCACTCCAGCTGGCTCGCCCACCATCCCTTTTTGGAGTCTTCCATTCAGGCTGACAGCCCAGCCCCTTCCGGATCATGAGCAGAAATAGCTGTGACAAAAGTCCCTCCCATCCCTGAAAGTGGCTTTTTAAAAAATGCTTAAAGGCAGACACACAAAATGGTAGCAATAACTCTACCAAGCCCTGACCTCAGGCAGATGATGTGGGCATCACTTCGAAGTGATGAAAGCTCTCATTAGGCTTTGTGGGTCAGCTCCCCGCCCCACCGGCCTCAGTTTCCCCATCTCAGCTGAATCAATGATTTCTTTCATTATTTGTTTTTCTTAAATGCGGAACTTTCTTTTCGAATTGAACTGTCCTCAGAATATCAATCTGAGAGTCATGAAAATGGAGCTGCTGTGGTTGACATGGGCTAAATCTCAGGTGTTCAGCCTCCCACTGTCCCCAGAATCACCCCATGGCACCCTGCTCTGGAATCCAGGGCTCTGAAGGGCCTACTTGAAAACCACCAGGCTAAATGATCACCGTGGTCCCTCCTAGTTGTCAAACAAAGCTCCAATCACCCCAGATACTAGTGAAAAAATACACTAAGCCCTTCATGCTGACTTGAGTAGGGGGTAGGGACACTTGGCAACCTACAGGGGGAGGACACAAAACCACCCGGTTCCAAAGCACACTGGGCCTGGGACATGAGAAGGGGAGGCCCAGACTATCACCCCGGGAGGCAGAAAGCACGGCCCTCACCTGGGCCCCTGCAAGTCACAGACCCGAAGCGTAGAGCGAGCTGGGCGGATCCCCTAAGGGGCCCCCTTATGTAAAGGTGAAAGACCTCAGAGAGCAGAAACTGGCCTGAGGTCACACATTGCCTAGTGGTGGAGCCAGATCTGGAATCTGGGTCTTTTGGATGCTTCTCGGACGCCAGTTCAGAGAAACTCTCCACTTGTTTAAAGTTCAGAGAGATTCAGCAGAAATCTCCCAGGGAAAAGCCCCCAGCTTGCAAACTCAGAACAGGATATTTTGGTGGCACTGGGTGGTGACAGGGCAGAGATATTTGTTTTGGTTTCCAAATCGACGCTTGACAACCTTGTCGGTATTACAGTTTCGGTAATCACATTCCCCACCCACCCCCTACCCACTCCCACGAAAGAGCTCAGAGGAGGTTGGAGCAAGGCAAAACCAGAGCAGTAGTGAAGAGAGCCAGGGCTGGGGACCCCAGGCCAGGGGAAGCTGGTTTGGGTTGGTGTCCCCAAAGCATGATTCCTACACCATTGATGGTACACGACATGATGTAAAGTGGTACACAGCAGTTGATTTGACTTTTTAAATTTAAATTTTACTGACTACGTAGGTGAATGGATAAACCAAACGTGATCTATCCATACAGTGGAATATTATTCAGCAACATAAAGGAATTCAGCTACAGCATGAATGAACCTCAAAAACACTCTTGAAGTGAAAGAAACCAGACACGAAAGACTACGTACTACATGATTCCATTCGTATGAAACGTACAGAAAAGGGAAATCTAGAGAAACAGAAAGCAAATCAGTGGTTGCCTGGGCTGGAGTGGGAACGGGGATTAACTGCAAATGGGCATGAAGAATCTTTATGGGGTGATGCAAGCATTCTAAAACTGGATTGTGGTAATGGTTGCACAACTCTGTAGATTTACTAAAAATCATTAAATCATATGTTTAAAATGAGAGGGTTTATGACATACAAATTATACCTCAATAAAGCTGTTAAAAATACCTTACATAAGAAATAATACAAGTAATGATGGTACATGGATATGGGCACAAGTTATGGAGGTGGAACCCCAAAGGCCTCCAAATTGGAGAACACTGAGCTACACAACCAAGGTTGCCCTTTGGGGAAGCAAGTTGGGGGTCTCTGAGCTGTGAGTTCCTCTGGGTGAATCGGGAGAAACCCCGGAACTTTTCCTTCCCTGTCACAGGCTCTTTCCACTGCTCACTGCTTGGGGTTCCATGCTAGATACCCTAGAAGGACTTGAGCCTTCTTCGGTGGCCAACAACCCAGGCAAACTCCTCAGCCTCATGCCTCAGACTATGACTTCTCTTACGGACAGGAGATCAGAAGTAGTCTGGGAGCTCAAATGCAGTTTTACATACGTCAAGGCTAGAAAGACCCTTTGAGATCATCTAGCCCAGTGGTTTTTAAACTTCTTTAAAAGTTGATCCTATGCCCACCTCCTCCCAAAAGAAAATTCTTATAAGAAACCCGAAAATAGAACCAGGTAAAACCAGAAAGTTACTTATGTAAATTTACATTGTATGTTCAAATATATAACAGTTACTTATTGCAAATTCAATCACTGAGGTTGATGAGACTATTTTGATCCATTAATATTTAGAACTGGGATCATGGATGACAGTTCCACATTCCGTTTAATTCTATCTCCAGTTTTGGCAGCAGAGTTTCAAGAAAATCCTGACTCACACAGATTAGTAGCTACAAATGGGGATAGTTTTTAGCAGTTTGCTTTGTAATCTCAGAATACTCTTCCAACAACTAGAGAAGGCAGGAGGGAGACGAACTCGAGCCCGACTACGAACAAGCTAATGTGTAAGTAGACTTCCGTGAGTTAACATTAAGAACTTAAAAGTGAGCGAGCACATTTTTACGACCATATTAACATCTTAACATATTTTTAAATATAAAATTTTATTTAATATTCAAGGAACTCCCGAGGCATCGCTGAGGAAGCCTGGAGCTTCCAAGAGCATGCTGCTAGCCCGCCTACCTCTCCCTTTACAGATCAAGAGACTGAGGCCCAAGGAAGAAAGTGTACTTGCTTTGGAAAAATCTAACTTGAGCCCTGAATCAATGTCAAAAAAGATGCATCTCCCCACCAGGGATTTCTTTATAGGAAATGTTAAAGGGATTTCTTTAAAAAGAAAAAAAAAGAAAAGAAAAAGAAAAGAAAAGAAAAAAGAAAAGAAAAAAAGAGAAGAAATGGAGGAAGAAAAGGTGTACACACACTTCAGAGGGCGGGAAGAGACACCCGCACTCCACCTGTCTCAGCAGCTCCCATCTCATTCCAGGCCAGCGCCAGAAGCTGACATCACACCCCACACCCTGGGTACAATTTAAACAGAGCATTGCTCAACACCAACCTGCCTCCCTCTAAGACTGGGCATGGTTTTTCCATCTCCTTAGTAGCCAGGTGCAAAGAACACACAATAAAATAAACACAATACAAGCCTGAGGCATGAGGACACAATCAACAGTGACAGACAGAAAGCCCATCCCTCCACGTTTCACCACCAAGAGCAAGTGCCTGTTTCCCTACCCCACCCCAACGAAGCTGCCCACGATGGGCAGCGAGGTGGCCTCCCCACGGCAAGGCACTAGGCCATTCTCAAGTCCTCAAGAGAGACAACCGGCCCAGGAAAGTAGCTGGTGTACAGCGGGGTGTAAGACCCACCCCAGAAAACCAGGCCCTCCATCAGAGAGACCTAAGACTCCAGGCATCTGCTCCTTGATACCTTGACAAAGAGCACACCATCTTTAATAACATCAACTTGATTGCTTTATACCTTCTGAAAGGTATCACTGTCCTACACTCTACTCATGCAACCGTGGGTGGATTTCATTATTCCATTTTTTTTGATGAGCAAACAGGCTTCCAAGTGGTTCAACAATCTCACTGGCAGGTGATAGAGCTGGCATCTGAATCCTGCCCAGTGGAGGAGAAGGAGGGAGACCCATGCCCAGCTCCCTGGGCAGACTTCTGTGCTCATGTGAGCACCAGGACTCGGAAGTGGAAGGAAAGACTCTTCTCAGCACATCCTCCAAGCCCTGGAGTTCAGACCCAAGGCTCCCAATGCAGAGTTGCCCATGCTGGGACAGTAGAGGGCCCCACACCCACCCAGGTCTGAGATGCTACAGAGAGACCCCTCGCCTCTTATCGGAAAGCTGAGCAGACAGTACTATCAGCCAGGTGGTAGACAGGAAACAATGTCAGTTTCCTACCTGGGGAATCTGGGCTGGACAGAAATGTGCTGGCCAGTTCTGTAGGCAGTATGCCCTGCACTCTAGCCAGAGATAGTGGTCTGGGTCCATTCAATGCCCAGTCTTCCAGTCCAAGGTTATCCCCTCCTGTGGACCTTTAGGGCTGAGTTTGTTGGGACCCCATAACCCATGACAAAGGAGGGAGGGTAGAGGAGTAAAGGGAGGTATTTTTAAAAGCTTGTGGCCACTCTGTTGTTGGTCTGGTTATCCAGCTCAACCAGCTGGATCTTATAGAGCTGGAAGAAGGTAGACCCTAGCCCCAGCGAGTAGGGACAGATCCGTCCACTTTGAAATACATGATCTCATTTAATTCAAAGAACAAAAGGCCAGTGGGTTAATTAAGAGTTTCTTTTCACCCATGAAGGGAGGAGAGCTGACCTCCTACATCCTTGGGAAAATACCTAAGCTGTGAGAGAGACTAGCCGAGATGTGTTAAAATCATTAGTTCAAATTCTGGCTTCATCATTTTTTAACCAAGCCACCTTAGTTAGGTAAGTCTCTTGCATCTCCGAGCCTCAGTTTCCTTATCTACAAAATAAAAATAGGAATGTCTTACATTCCATGTTGCCACGAATATTAAACGAGATCACATAAAACACTGATTTTTTTTCACCAAGAAAACAATGTGCCTGGTCTAATGATGGCTCGGAGGTGTACGGCATGGCCAGCGCTCGTCCCCATTCTCGGAACTAGATAACTAAGTTTTCCAAGGAATCGTAGGGCGTTCTGCTAACACAGCTTCCAGGCACCTGCTAGGACCAGCTGGATGCCACTCGCCCCTCCCGAACACACAGCCAGCGACCTAGACGCCCCCAACCCCGGAGCCGTGGGAGGAGGGGCGAGGTCCCACTCACCTCCGCTTGTACTCGTCGCGCTCTCGCTTCACCTTGGCCAGCACGTTGTAGAGCGCCCGGATCTCGGGAGTGATGGTGTCAATCTGCACGCCCACGCCGTCGGGATGCACCCATGACACGCCGGGGCCCTGCACGGTCTCCACGCCGCCGCCGCCAGTGCGCCGCACCTGCGTGTAGCTCCAGATGGTCCCGGGCAGGCGGCCGTAGTGCTGCGGG